TGTTGCTCCACAATTAACGATGAAAATGAGAGCCATTGCCTTGACAGCCGCTGGATCAGTTGCGTGTTATGTTGAACACATGTATTGATTTAATTCTCAGTTGAAAATTCTGTGATGAATGTATGAAAATGACATTTAGCTTGATTTCTACTCTAGGACGAAAATCTTTTTTCCTGCACCGCACACTGTCTAATTTAGAAAATTGTCATTTTGTTAATCACAGTTCAGTTCAATTAGAAAACCCAATAGATCAAATCATACCCACAAGAATTTCTAACTTATTTTTGTACAAAACATTTTTTTATTATCTCCCAATGAGAATTTTCTAGTAAACTTGAGCAATTGAAACTGTACTACTTTTTCATTGAGGAGAAAACAAATACAATGATAAATAAATACTTTCGTAAAACTTGGCAATGATTGGAGGTGCTTTTGACAGCCATGCAACACACTGAACCTGCTCTCTTCAATTTTTCAGTCTGCGCTTTTCTGAGTATTAAGCTTAAAGCCCCTGCTTTTGATTTGTTCTTTTTCAACGTTCTTGGTTGTGGTTTTGTTAATGGAACGCAGCGTATAACTTTAATTCGTACAACGCTGCGTTTTAGTTGAGTTTTTTTAACACCATCCAGCATCCGTTAACACTGGTAAGGATAATCTCAACTAACCATAACGGAAACCGTTTGACAACCTTTTTACTGAATTTGGAAGACCAGAATTACATCCGCTCCTTTGTCCTTAATATACACCAGCAGCTTATTCTACCTTTTAGTTCTTCTTCTTTAAGCTTAGCAACATCGCCCCACAAGCTTTTGGAATAAAATTTTATGATATATATATAATTTTTTCTTGTTTATTTGTTCATCGTATGTTGTATTTGTGAAAGATTCAAAAAAAATATTAAATTCAAATGATGGTTATAAATTTTAATACGAGCAGATGAACATGTATCAGTGGGCCAACTTAGAGTGTAGTGTAAGCTCCGCATGAATCCTGTACTTAATCTGGGGGTGGGGGGAACAATAAAACAGCAAGCTTGCATAATATGTCAAACCACAAATTCAGCAGTTTAAATTAAAAATATTTATATTAAAAATTCTCAAGTATTTCCACATTCTAAATACCACAAACATGTTTCTTCTTTTGTTAGGAGATACAATATTTCAGTACTTGGTATGATACATTTAAATTTTTACTATTAAAAAATTATTGCTTTTGATGAATTTCATCCTAGGAACTGGGAAAACTATAGGAGCTCCAACTGGTAATAATAAATCTCTCTTTCTCTAAGGCACATGATGTATCTGGGTTTTGAAGAAAGGCTGAATTTTTGGGCCACACAGCCCAGCTACATTTCCTTTAGCTGATCTATTAATGAAAATCAGCTATTTTTATTGACCCGAGTAACAAGCCATTTGTGGGTCTGAACTGATCAAATGAATCCAAACTGGAGTCCTATTGTCCCTAACATAATTATCCTGATTATATTCACAGACCCAACAACTTGGTCCATCCATTTTTCATACTACACGACAATATAATATACGTGTAAAGGAAGTTAAAATATAAGTCACTAACATAACATATGAAAAGACTTTTGTCCTAATGTATCACATAGATTTCGTTAGGGGTGGGATAATCTGGTTAATCGAACTGGATTAGGAAAACCGAAAACCAAACTAGTTATTCAATTTAGAGAAAATGTAAACAAAAAACTAGACTGGTTTCAGTTATAAACCGATTGTAAACCGAACCGAATATTAATCGATTCACCGATTTTCAAATTAACAATGAAAACGACAGCTATTGCCTTGACAGCCGCTGGAACAGTTGCGTGTTATGTTGAACACACGTATTGATTTATTTCTCAGTTGAAAATTCTGTGTGGAATGTATGAAAATGACATTTAGCTTAATTTATACTCTAGGACGAAAAGCTTTTTTCCTGCACCGCACATTGTCTAATTTAGAAAATTATCATTTCGTTAATCACAGTTTAGTTCAATTGGAAAACCCAATAGATCGAATCATACTTACAAGAATTTCTAACTTAGTTTGTGCAAAACATTTTTTTATTATGTCCCAATAAGAATTTTCTAGTAAACTTGAGAAATTGAACGAATAACAGAGAGAACTTGATCTAACTCAAATTGTACTACTTTTTCATTAAAGAGAAAACGAATACAATGATAACTAACTACTTCCGTAAATCTTGGCAATGATTAGACGTTCTTTTGACAGCCATGCAATGCAACATACTGAGCCTACTCACTTCTTCAATTTTTCAGTCTGCACTTTGCTGGGTCTTAAGCTTAGACGTTCTTGGTTGTGGTTTTGTTAATGGAACACAGCATATAACTTTAACTCGTAAAACACTGCATTTCGGTTAAGTTTTTTAACACCATCCAGCATCCGTTAACACTCGTAAGACTAATCTCAACTAACGGTAATGGAAACCATTTAACAACCTTTTAACTGAATTTCAAAGCAAGGTTTTAAAACCCGATCCGCTGGATGATGCGGTCAGGATGTCGGGTCTCGGGTTGGCCGGTTCAACCATCGGGTCTAACCGTGATGTTAGTATGCCGACATCAACAGAGAAATTAAAATTCTAGATTAGAAAATACTGATACTCAATAAATTTTTGTAACTAATTCATCCAAATCTGAAATAAACAACTAAATAAGATATAAAATATAAAGCAAACAACACATTCATTCCAAAATCCTATTACATGTCCATGTCAAGTCAAGGTTGAATTTGGGCATCAGATGCAATCATGTAGAGGGAATATTACTTATATCATCAATGTCATTGTCCTCATCATCATCTACAAAAAATTTCAAACAAAAATAACATTATAAGTTAAAATTTGTTTTTGTAAACTAAATTGACAAATGTAATTTAAAATTTAAATAACTAAATTAACTACTGAATAATTTAAATCTCGCACATTGCAATGTGCATTTTCACATTGCCAAATAGCATACGACAGTGTGCAAAATTGCAGTGCACAGCTTGCACAATTCTTCAAATTCAAATCAAACACATCACAACAATAACCCACTGTAGTGCAATAAAAACAATGAAATCCAAATAAATTGAAATACTATTATTTTGTAATATGTTTATACATAAGACACCACTGCGATGGGCACACCAAAACTTAGAAAACACGGAGCATTGACCCAAAGCCTTGAATAACGTGGGATAAAGTTATGGTTTCTTTATATATATATATCACCAAATGTGTGAGTGTTTACATTGGTTGCGCAAAGGAAATGATGTTTGACATAGAACATTATTTTGTTTACAATGTCCACTAATATATCAAATCTATATATTAAAGGTTAAATGAAAAAGAGAAGAAGATAAAGGTACAAGTAGGACCTAAGACTCTTGAAAGTTTCGTGAATCATGTGGCCTCTCATAAGTCAGCATGAGAGTTGTTTTCTATTTATATATTTTTGCAAATATAATCTATAGATCATGCTTTACATAACAACGTTGATAATTAAATAATTATCTATTAAACCACCAATTAAAAAATAATTCAATCTTACAAATTTGACCTCCAATGAAATTATGAAAAAGGGTAAAAATACAAAAACCCTAGATCAAAAGAATACTTTTTTCTTGTTTGTTTGTTCATCGTAGTACTGGTGAAAGATTAAAAAAATAAAAAAATAAAATTCAAACGATGGTTATAAACTTTAACTATCAATTCTACAATGGTTAATCTGAAGTTGCAAGTAACTAGGATATCTAGAACTTAAATTACTACATAAATTTAGAAATGGAGTTTACTTAGAAATGGGGTTGTATTAGATAATAAGTAGGGTGTCGATAATATCACTCTATAAGAAAATATGCCTTATTTAATTTTAAAAAAATCTAGTAGAATAAAGTTAAAAGCAATGTGAACCAATTCCTAAAAAGCAATAAACAGAAGTCCTTTCTCCTTCCCCTTTAATTGACAAATGAATGCAATTGGAAGACCAAGACTTTATAGCCTATTTGATTGCATCACTTATACAATGAACTCTAAATAATTAAACTGACACTTTGTTTTGTTTCTTATTAGACCGAATTTTCAATGGTAGGGCACTTGTTTTATAAAGTAAAAATGCTTCACTTTTATCTTTTAAGTTTATGGGATTATACAACACTTATACCTAAATTACTAAATACGATATCAATTCTACAATAGTTAATCTGAAGCTGGAAATAACGAGGATATCTAGAACTTAAATTATTACATAAATTTAGAAATTAAGTTTACTTAGAAATGGGGTTATATTAGACAATAAGTTGGGTGTCGATAACATCACTCTATAAGAAAATATGCATTGTTTAATTTAAAAAAAAAAAAAAAATCTAGTAGAATAAAGTGAACTAAAAGCATTGTGAACCAATTCCTAAAAAGCAATAAACAGAAGTCCTTTCTCCTTCCCCTTTATTTGACAAGTGAATGCAATTGGAAGACCAAGACTTTAAAGCCTATTTGGTTTCATCACTTATACAATGAACTCTAAATAATTAAACTGATATTTTGGTTTGTTTTTTATTAGACCGAATTTCCAATGCTAGAGTCAACAAACGAAAGAATTTGAAAAAGGGAAGAACCAAAGAGTACTTGTTTTACAAAGTAAAAAAGCCTCTTTTTTATCTTTTAAGTTTCAATGGGATTATACAACACTTATATCTAAATTACTAAATACAACAACCCCACTCCTATAGTATTTCTGCAGTGTATAAGAGTTGGATTGTTAAACTAAGTAGCGGATCCTTGTCCATTTTGTAAATATACAGCATCTCACCACTTAAGCTAAAAGTAAGTAGCTTGAATATCAAAGACAAAAAGACTAAAAATAAACAAAGAAATTACCCACAAAGCCGTGTTAACACTAGATTTGACATTCAAGAAAATACAACTAATAGAAAAAGTACATGATGCTTGAGGATACATTTATTAAATGTGTGAAGAAAAAGAAATAAAGCTAATTACATTCTCTTTTTGTGAGCTTTCTTTCTTGCAGAATAAGCGTGCTCAAGAGCCACACCAGTAACGAGCCCACTTGCAAACCCTATCAGAATTATCTTCCACCCAAATTCAGATGGAAACTTCAAGCCTGCAGGACCTTCTTCTTTCTTTGGAGGCTGAAAATCTTCACATTTTCTTGCTATCTGCTTTCCACACAATCCTGGGTTCCCATCAAACGAAATATTCTCAAATGTATCAAATTGTTTTCCTTGTGGTATGCGTCCAGTGAGATGATTATTTGAGACATTGAAGAATGCAAGGAATGTGAGGTCTTCCAGTTGCTGAGGAATCTGTCCTGAGAGCTTGTTGTTAGAAACATCCAATGATTCCAGTGCTGTTAGGTTTCCCATGGCTGCTGGGATAGGGCCTTTGAGATTATTGTTCGAAAGATTGAGAAAACGAAGCCCTCTTAAATTTGTGATGGATGTTGGAATCTCTCCTTCAAATTTGTTGCCGGAGAAACTAATGGCTGTGAGGAAATTTGAGATCTTTCCATAGTCCAACTCTATGCCTTTGACCCTCATTTGAAATGAGTAACCATAATTCATTGATACATGAACAATGTTACCGGAGGACTTAAATAACATTTCCGTTCCCAAATATGCTAATGGACTTGCATTGACAACTTTCATGGCATTCCAAAATTGGAAGAATTTTGATGGAAGATAACCTATAAATTTATTATGGGAGAGATCGATAATGCGCAATTTCGGAAAGGAATAGTTTGTTTCAGGTTCTTTTATTGCACCCCTTAATCTATTGGATTGTAAGATAAGAACCTTTAACTTTGGAAGAGTTTCCAACCAAGATGGAAAAGTATCCCTAATTTGGTTATTTCCGAGATTAAGAAATTCTAATTTTGTACAATTGACCAATGATCTCGGAATTCTCCGTTGTAATTGATTTTGGCTTAAATCAATCATCCTCAAATTTGTTCCATTCAGTAAATTTTGAGGAATACTTCCGTGAAATTTGTTACTTTGCAAATTTAGTGTTGATAGATGACTGAAAGTGGCCAAACATTGTGGAAGCTTGCCACTTAAGTTGTTGTGAGATAGATCAAGAACTTGCAAAGAATTCAAATTGCATATAGACAGTGGAATTTCTCCTGTAAAATTATTGTATGAAACTAGATAGACCATGGTGTGCAATGATGGAATTGGAAGTGACCCCTGCAACTTATTTGATCGTAGGTCTAAACTCACTATCCCAGTCCGTGAAAGAGAAATGGGCCCTTGGTCAAAGCCTGTTAAAAGATTGTTGGAAAGATTCACGAAACCCAAATTAATTGTGTTGAAACTAAAAAACCATCTAGGTATTGGGGCAACTATCTTGTTTGAGGAAAGGTCTAGATCCGACAATTGATCTTGGTTTTGTAGGAAATCTGGGAACTCTATGAGATTGCAGGATCCCAATCTGAGAATGTATAATTTCGAAAATTTTGTATGAACGTTGGTTTTGGTAAGCAACGATAAATTGTTTGAGGAGAGAATTAAAACTTGTAAACTTTTGAGTTTATGAAGAAGCATGTCCAAATCCACTTTGCCACTCAGATTATTTGAACCAACATCAAGCCACTGAAGATTTTTGAAGTCATAGAAAGCACTAGGAAATGGGCCTTGCAATTGATTTGACCCAAGGTCAAGAAAAGACAATTGCGCTAGGTTTCTAATTTCAAAAGGGATAGGACCAGTAAATCGGTTAGAACCAAGAGCCAATCTGTCTAAGGAAGAAAGATTTCCAAGTGAAGACGGAATTGACCCTGAAAAAGCACACTTCCTTATACACAGGCCAACTAAGGATCTAAGATTCCCCATGGAATGTGGAATCTCACCGAAGAATCTCGTGCCCTCAAGTATCAAAGCTTGAAGGGGACTGCTCTTTTCAAATTCTGGCAAGTATCCAGAGAGATTTTCATTGCCTTCCACATCGATAATGTGAAGATTGGGTAATCGAAATATCTTTGCAGGGAATTCACCATGTAATTCACACCCCATGAGGGATAAGACAGTCAACGAAGAAAAATTTGCCAAGATACGAGGTACTGGAGAAGAAATATTGACCTCATCAAGAATTAGCACTTTGAGGTGAGTTAACTTCTCAACAAGGCTTCTTAGACCTGGCTTTTGGAGCTCCATTTTATGATTCAATGATGTGTCAAGAGTCTCCAGCTTTGAGAGCTCTAGGATCTCCCATGGTATTTGACCAAAAAAATTAGAACACATTAGGTCAAGATATGATAACCTGAAAAGGTTACTAATTTCGGATGGGATTTTGGAGCGATTGAAGTCATTATCAGCAAGGCTAGCCATTCGAGATGGACAAGGCGAAAGAGACTACTGCTAGAGTTGATAGAACCGTAGAGGCAACTACTGGTGAGGTTAAGCCCAATCAAATGACCAGTAACCTTATTGCAAGTGACGCCGTCCCATGAGCAGCAATTATCATTAGCCTTCCAGGATGCAACCTTGGGATAAGCAGAAGGATCGAAAGAAGCAAACTTATTGATAATTAGGCTTTCCTTGAACTGTAACAATGAAGAACGCTCATCATCATGGCAATGTGGCTTCACAGAAGAAGTAAAATGAGGAAGGAGTGTAAGATGAAATAACGAGAGCCAAAGAAGTAAGCGTATAAATGGGAAGAAACATGAGGATAAACCCATAATGTAAGTAAATAGATTAGATAATGTAGATTTGGTGCTGAAGCATTGTAGGAGAATGGAAATGAATTTATAGGCGGGTTGCCAATACTGTCGTCAAAACAACCCCGCTGCAATAACGTATTGCAACTTCAGCTTCAGTATAGAAAGGGCCAAACACTGGTGAAAGTTGAGTCAAGTGGTCGGCCCCAAAAGTCAGCTTGATAGTGACATTGTCATGAAGAAACTTCAAGCTGCGTCCTTTCTCCTTCTCCTTTCATTGACAGCGTAATGACTGACATGGGCACACCAAAACATAGAAAACACGGAGCATTGGACTTTGGTGCTCCATTATGATTTTCATTGAAATTTCATGACCAAAAGCCTTAAATAACGTGGGATAAAGTTATAGTTTCTTTTTTTTCTGTTTTTTATATTTATATGTAGTTTTTTTTTTTTTTTCACCAAATGTGTGAACGTTTACATTGGTTGCATAAAAGAAATGATATTGACATAGAGCATTATTTTGTTTACAATGTCCACTAATATATAAAATCTATATATTGAAGGTTAAATGAAGAAGAGAGGAAGAAGATAAAAGGGAAAAGAAGGGCCTAATACTCTTGAAAGTTTCGTGAATCACATTGATATAATTTGAGGTGAGTCTGACTCCTCACTCAATAAGACCTTATTGAATAGGAGAATTACCCTCTCTTATAAACTAATAGGCTTGAGCGTGCCTAGTCGGTGTGGGACTCCAATACTCTCCCTCATGGTCAAGCCCATATGTTGGGTCATGGCTGTTGATGGAGGTAGTTGTCGGCTCTAACTCCTCAACTGCTAGTCAAACACTCAGCTCAACTGAACCTGGCTTTGATACCATAATAAAATTTGAGGTGGGCTTGACTCCTTACCCAATAAGGCCTTATTGAATGGGAGAATTACCCTCTCTTATAAACCAGTAGGCTTGAGCGTGCTTAGTCGATGTGGGACTCCAACACATGTGGCCTCTCACAAAGTCAGCTATGAACTATATTTTTAATCATATATTTTTGGAAATATAAGCTATGGAGTATGGACTATCGCTTTACATAATAATGTTGATAAAATCTATATATTAAAGGTTAAATGAAAAAGAGAAGAAGATAAAGGTAAAAGTAGGACCTAACACTCTTGAAAGTTTCGTGAATCATGTGGCCTCTCATAAGTCAGCATGAGCAGTTAACTTGTTTTCTATTTATATATTTTTGCAAACATAATCTATGGACCATGCTTTACATAAAAATGTTGATAATTAAATAATTATCTATTTAACCCCCAATTAAAAAATAATTATATCTTACAAATTTGACCTCCAATGAATTTATGAAAAAGGGTAAAAATACAAAAAACCCTAGATCAAAAGAAAACTTTTTTCTTGTTTGTTTGTTCATTGTAGTATTTGTGAAAGATTCAAAAAAAATATTAAATTCAAACCATATATATTAAGTTTAAAGAAATATATTGCCTTTTTTTTACATGTACGGAGTTCAGTTAATTTTGTATAACATAGACCATACTTATTTATAATCTATCTAATTTCTTTATTTTTAATAATATTATAGATATATTATAACAATCCTTCACTATTTTTTTAATGTTTGGCCATTTGGAATAGAATGAAAAGCAAGATTAAGAAAAGCCAAAAACGGTAGCTTAAAAATACATATTGTCACATTTAAAAATTATTTCTAGTAATAGTATTGCATAAAATAAAACTTTATATTCATTTCTTTGTAATAAGACTTTGTAAGTATAGTATTATTCAATAATTTGTTTATAATACTATATTTTAAGTAATGACATTTCACAATCTTCGGGTCATCGTATACGTTCGTCCAATTCCGAGCAATTAGGAGACATGATTTTTGTGGTAAGATTCCAATTGAGTAACAATGTTAAAGAGAATTTTGTTTTCATCTCTGTAGTTTGGGGTTACTAACAATGAAGGGCATCCTTTAGAAATAGAATTTTCTATGATATTATTCAATTTGAATCCTCAAACAAAAGATCATGTCTACTTGCTCAGAATTGGACGAACGTACAAGACGGGGTAAAGAATTGCGAATTGTTATGCCTAAAAATCAAGGTTGACGTAAGCTCACGTCAGCAATGGCCAATCAGAGTTCAGGAATGCTTTGTGCTGTCTAGACACTGCCACATCGCCCAAGGACAAAAGGGATATGACTGTCACCAACCCAACAGATTCAAGTTTTGTCTATGAGTGGATGAGGACCGTACACCTGTCTCAACTTTATCAAACTAAAAAGATAAGGATTAAGGAGTCATCCCCACGTGTCATGAAAACTTGCAAAAACACTCATTACATTGACCTAAAAGGAGTATAAATGAGCACCTCTCTTCACGAAAAGAAGAGGCTGGGCAAATGAAAGCTGCGCATAGATTTGAGCTTCTTTTCATTATTTTTTCTCTGTAAACAATGTATTTCTCCATTCTTTGTATGCCTGACAGGCAATATCATAGAAATAGTCAGAGAATAATAAAAGAACAATGGATGTAGGATTTGCTTTATGCATCCGAATCACTATAAAAATCCCTCTTGTTCATCTTTTATTTATGTTTCTGCAAACATATATAATCTCAGCTTCATAAACACTTCTCATCAATCATTTACGTGTAATTTCTAAGGTCATCTTAACACTTTGCACATGCAAGTCGTTGGTGTTAGAATTAATCATAAACATAAATCAATTGAAAGCTCAAGATATTGTCATATATATTTGTATACAACAAGATAGAGCAGTGAATTGGAACCACTTATTGCTGATATGTGATAGTGTCCTTGAGATATTTACAAGTCAAGTCGCCTATACAATTTAACAAGAGGAGTTAAATTATAGTCATTCATATATTACTCTTTCTCCTTCCCTTTTCATATACAGCTCGACGTAATGAATTAGATCGGCAAGACTAGGACTTAGTAGCCACGATACAGTGGACTTCCAGATAACAGATTTTATTGAAAGTTTCATGAAGTAAAACCTGAAATAATAGGGCTGGTCATGGAGTTTCCAGTTGAGGGTAACACCTCAATCTAAAGAGGGCTTTTAAAGCATTCTAAAGTGCCACAAGGGAAGACATTGGCAATAATGATCCCCCATCGGCTTGATAGCTTGTTTTCAGCAAAGAAGGTTAATTTTGGTTGTTTTACCGTGCCAGAAATTACTAAAGAAGAAAACTTAAATTTAATTATAACTAATAAATAAGCAAGAGTTTTTAACAAAAATATCTTTTTCGAAGCTAAGGTGATGGATTTATGCTCATCTTCATTGAGTTGGGGTCTGCAAGTGATGGATTAATTATGGTGGTTCATGATCTTCATTAAGTTGGGTCTGGATTAGCGGCCAGTGTCACATTGTTGCAATTCGGCTCACCAAACCTTAAATATTGTCTTAAATATTTAGAAAGGGAGGGCCTAAGACTTGTTTGAGTCAAGTGGCCTGTGGCCCTCAAAAGTGAGCATGATAGTGATATTGTCTTAAGTATCCGGTTTGAACGTCGAGCTGCGTCTTTTCTCTTTCCCTTTCATTGACAGTTCAACGTAATGTCTGAGATGGGAACACCAAAGCTTAGTAAACGCGGAGCATTGGACTTTTGGTGCTCCATTATGATTTTCATTGAAATTTCATAATCCAAAGCCTTAAGTGTAATTTCTTGAGAAGATTAATTTCCAATTGCATATCTCAACATGGAACAGTATACTTTGTTGCTCCACAATTAACGATGAAAAGGTCAGCCATTGCCTTGACAGCCGCTGGAACTAGGGGTGAGCACGGGTAGCGGGTAGAACCAGAACCGGGGGTAAGAACCGGAACCGGAACCTACCCAGAACCTGCACTGTGCGGGTAGGTTCCGGTTCCAATTTTTTGGAACCGCTACTGTGCGGTTCCAGTTCCTGTTCTTGCATGTGGAGGAACCGGAACCGGAACCGGAACCGGAACCGGAACCGGAACCGGAACCGGAACCGGAACCGAAACCGGAACCGGAACCGGAACCTGTAAAAAGGGTACCCTGTTTGGAACCTGTAGGGGGTACCCGGTTTGGAACCTGTTTTGGAACCTATTTGGAACCTGCTTTGGAACCTGTTTTGGAACTTGTTTTTAGAACCTGTTTAGAACCTATTTTGGAACCTGGACTATAATGAAATATTTGTGAAATGTAAATAATGGGGGAGTTTCTATTATTTTACATATAAAAAAATTTAAAATAGAAAAAGTTAAATTTTTAGAATAACCTAATTAAATAAATATACGAATACAATTATACTTATTACATATAAATTACACCATATTAAAAGCTTTAATATATTATTATAATACTTAATATTAAAGTTTTGATCAATTAAGTGAATAATTGGAATATGATCCAATTAAAAGTGTTTACATTTTTAAGTTATTAAAGAATTATTTTGAACAAAATAGTATATTTGATTGAGTAATAATTATTTAGTTATTTACTTCAATTATCAAGTTCTAAGTATTCTATAATAAATTAGTAATAATTAATTATATATGATAAATTGATAAACATTAATAAATTTAATTACTAGTTAAATCTATACTAAACAATTATAACATTACATTATAGTTAAATGATTACTTAATTATTATA